GTGGTGAAAAAAGCTGAAGTGAAAGGTGAAACTCTTGACATACTAGTCTGTCTGATGATAGGGACACTTACAGGCAGCGTTGTATGCAACACGTACAAGCTAATATGCTTCTTCAGAAGTTCTCTATGTGCTCAGTATCTGTAAAAACGGTGCACTTTAAAGCATATTGTACTCCAATGTATACTACCCACCTGTGGCGGCATTAGAGAAAAAGCCGTGGCGTACAATGATGGCATGAGGATGCTGCTTAAGGTGCCGCGATGGAGTAGTGCTAGTCTGATGTTTGTAAATGCCAATACCAACTTGTGCTGCTGTGCTTCAAAAACCTTGTGTGCAGATGTATGTGCAGGAAAACAGACTCTGTAATAGCATCATTTATACCTTGACTAACTCCGTACAAAGCTCCGTTAGGTTCTTTTCTTGTCTGTGAAATCACTGGTGCCTTAATTTATACAGCAATGGATGAATATTCTATTATTATTGTTTTGTTGTTACTACCAGTATTGTTTTTTTTGTGCCTGTTTTTGTTTACTATGGATGGACCATGCATGTGTCTGAAATAAAGGTTTGATTGATTGATTGACTGATTGTCCACGTTCCACCCCTCACCTATGATCATGAGGTTTGGATCATGACAGAAAGAATGCGATAAAAGGAGCTTTCTTCAGTGTGGACACACTCAGCCTTAAGGTGAGGAGCTCCATCATTTGGGGAGAAGCTTGAAGTGGAACCACTGCTGCTTTGCATCAAGCGTATTCATGTGAGGTGGGTCAGGCATCTGATTAGGATGAGCACCGCTCACTGGAGGTTTTCCAGTCACCTCCCACGAAGGAGGCCCAGACTGTGCTAGAGGGATTTTACTTCCTTTTGGAGGAGGTGGAGAGTATCTGGATGTTTGGGTTTCCTTCTTGGATCATTGCAAATAACAGGCTTGTCAAAAAATAAAAACTAGGTATTAAATAAACATTTAAACATGTCTCAGTAAAAAGAAAATCTAAAACAGCCATGCTGGTAAAGAAAGGGTAATCTGTCTGTTCTGTTTAGGTCGTCCTGTTGTGGAGGAGGCACCTACAGGAACAAATCTAATTTAATTACACGTGAAGTAAGGAGGCAGCAGCAAAGTGCCATGCAGACACTGCGCAGAGACCTCAGCTTTTCTGTTCTTATATAATCGTGAACATCTCAGAGAAGCTCTTTATTTCCAGTTTTAATTTTTATGACAGCTGCCTCAGCATGAGATAACAGACGTATGAAGATGACAAAAAAAAAAAAGCTCATTACATGCCTGCATGCATGCGTTTTTGTAAATCATCATTTTTCAACTCATTACTCTTAATAAATACAAAGCATAAACAGTCACCTGATGTAGCACAAGTGTTGCGTTTTTTCAGGTGTAAAAGGTATAAAATTGTACTCAACCCTTTCCTAACTGAGGTACAATTATCTTTATTTATTGCTAAGTGCATGAGAAAATGTCACCGAATGCAGACAATGAGTATATCTAAATAAACAAACAGACGGGTTCTTGATCACTGATAATTCTTTGGTGTGAAGTTAATTATAGTGATTCTCTGAAACTATTATTCAGTTTCTTAAAAAGACATTAGTGATCCTTGGTCACTCTGAGTTATTAATCACGTGGAGGCAACACATGACAAGAAATAAATGAGAGTAGTATTCAAGTATATCTTCTACAGTATTTAAATTCCCGCTGGTGTAAAATATTCAAGTCTCCTTCAATTAAATTGAATTTTTATCTATATAAAAAGGCAGTGATTCTCAGTGTCAAGGTCAGGAGTCTCAGCTACTATAGCATCCAGTTATAAATCTGTAAAACTGACTGACTTATAGCAGTTTATGTGTTTGTTAAAATTGGTCAGATGAGGTATCAGTATGAAATGGGCTGACTAAAAGTTAATCAGTTGTAGAAGTGTAGAAGTACATGCTTTGATTATGTTGTGAATGTTTTATTAAAATCTGACCAGCAATTCATGAGATAGACAGAGTTGACTCCTATAGTTAATGGAAAAGTTTTTAAACAGCAGTTAGCGCTCAGAAAGAAGTTAGTTTGTGTTTTTATTTTATTCTTTTTCTTTTTTTTTCCCTAACAGATGCAGTCATCGAAGAGTTTCCTGGAACAACAGTTTCCGAGGTGCGCTGCAATCAAGTCAATAAAAAAGGGTAAATACATATTTTTGGGACCCATCCGTCCATCCAACCATCATTTTACCTCCTCTTCCTGTTTTTGATCACGGAGGTCACTGGTGCCCGTGTCCAGCAGTCACTGTGTGTGAAGTGATGGACACCCTGGACAGGTCTCCAGTCCATCACAGAGACATGTATAGAGACAAACGGGACAAACAACCATTCAGTCTCTCACTCACACCTAGTGACAATTTAGAGTTACCAATCAAGGCATGTGCATGTTTTTGATCTGTGGGAGGAAACCGGCGTACCCGGAGAAAATCCACACATGCACCGAAAGAACATGTAAACTCCACCCAGAAAGGCCCCGGACTGGGTTTTGAACCGGGGACCTGCTCGCTGAGAGGCAGCAGCTCTACCAACTGCACAACCGTGCTGCCTATTTTGGAATAGCAATGTTTACACTTTTTAAAATGAAACTGTAAATATGCATGCGTATTGATGTTTCATTGTTGAAGTACTCTTTGTTATTGTTCTTTGTTAGTTTTATCATTTTTGTTACATATAAAATTGTCTAATCTGTCATAGAAATTGTACTGTATGCAACTTTTTGTGTTTAATAAATAAGTTTAAATGTACAAACCTCTTGTTATATTAAATATTAGCACACTTAGAAGGTATTTAATAAAGACTTATAATATATTTATAATATATAATAATTTTATTAACAGTACTAAGCAAAGACATTATAAATACAATTAAAAAAAATCTAAATGTATTATTCAAGCACAAAACTAGTACATACCAAGTAAAAAGGTTTGTAGGCTCAGTCATCCAGGTAGATAACAAAAAAAACGGTTAAATCATAAACTGGTCCAGATTAAATGATTTAACCTTTTTTTTTTTACATACAAAGTACAAATTAAGTTGTTTCATAATAGTACAACTTAAGTACAACTTAAGTTGTGTCAAAATAATACATGTACAATGTATTTTTTTTACAATTTCGCAAATAGATTTAATATATTAAATGTCATTATACTTAAGTATATTTTATTTTCACCTGGGATAACTCTCAGCTACTACCACACCAAACTGTAGCGCAATATCTGTAAGCCTACTGAGACACGTTGACACCAAAAGGTAATCAGTTGTAGATGTACATCCAAATAGTTCCTGATGGGTTTTTAAACAAATGTCCAGTGGTTAATCTGATATTTTGCTAACACATCAGAAAATCAAACAAAGAGAGGAGCTACAACATTACATTATTGCCCATTTGTCATGGCGACATAGAGCCAATATTGTTTTGATTAGGTTTGCAAAACCTCATAAAAGAACTAAAATTGGTCTTTTGTTTACGAACTGCAACGAATGAGACATTTCATCAAAGTAAACCTCACTGACTTGGCATATTTGATCAAATTAATCCTACATTACATAAGCAGCTGCAGAGCTTTCTCTACATGATGAATGCATAGTCAAAGTGATGCAAAAGAATTAGAGACACTCCACCGAAGCAGCTGCTTTGTTGTGTCCCAGCTATTCCTTTGCTGCCACTCCTGAGGCAAGGCCACACGAATGCATGGCGATCCACCTTGATGAGGTCGTCTCACCCTGCCAGATCTGTCTAAATCTTGTTTAAAAAGAGCGATAGCGACGAGCCTATTTTCTCCTCAAGAGTTGATGAGAGTGTGCCTGTTCTGTCTTTCATGGATAAATACACATGGGCAAAAAGGAAGCAAAAAAAAAAAAGGCTCTGCCACCCACCCTCTATCCACCTCTACATCTCGTATTACTTGGGCCTATCCCTGTTTTTCTGTGCTACTGTGTCATTCATGATAACACTCAAAGATCTGCAAACCCTGTTGCATCTTTGTTTCTTGTCAAGAAGTTTAGACACTGTTGTGCATCACATCAGCCTGTATTATTCAAAAGGCCCAAGGTTTCTTCTTGCTGTTCTTTAACTCTATTTTTAATAATTGTTTTGTCTATTTTTAACAAGCAAGCCTGCAAGTCTGCTCGGCTGGCAGCTAGCTCAGCTGCGACCGTGTCAGCTTCTATCAAATCCTGGCGAGGGAATTACAGTCTGACATGGGAGTGTGTCAGAGCTTGATTGAAGATGGAGTAATTGCAACATAATGCAACATGCCATTTGTCATTAATCCCACTGGATCCCAGCACTTCATCTAATTTCATACTTAATGGTTGATTTTGATTCCCCAAAAACTTAAAGATTTGTCTGATGAGGCATTGTTATAGCATATTTTCATGTTCTGAATTTAGATCATTGTGAGAAAATGTTGCTGTAAAATAGTTTAATAAATGTAGATTCAAATTTTTAGCATGTGCACCAAACTTGAAACCTTTAAGCACCCATTCGCTAACATTTCTCTAAAACAAAACACAAAATTAGATTTTTAGATTAGCTTCAATCTGTCCTTGTAGTATTAAAAATCCCTCTTTTGAAGTATCACTTTATTGTATCACCTTGATTTATAGACTGCACTTTATGTTATTCCATTTCAAGTGGTGTGAAATCAAAATTCGTTGAGCATATAATACTAAAAGATTTACATCTTGTTTTTTTTTTTTGTTTGTTTCCAAGTCTCTTACTCCATCTTCTGGAGTGTCCTCAGCATTGCAACTTTTTGTAACCAGTAAACATGATGTAAAAAAAAAAAAAAAAAAAAATTAAAAGTATGTTTCAACTTATTTCTATTTCTATTTAATTATATTTGTTTTATGTAGTAAAAATGTCTACTATTTGCAGACGTTGTCACCGCGGAACTGTTGACATCTAGGTACAGTTTATTCCCGGACACTTTTACACTAACTCCACAACTTTAGCTATCATGGCGGCGTCCGTAATTGAAACATGCCATGTAGCTTGTTGTGCAAACAGGACACCAAATGTTGTTTCTTGGGGTCGTGGTGGGATTATTGCCTTCGGAACATGTAATTCAGTGGCTCTGTACGACCCACAGGTGAGGAACCGTCTTATATTTTCGCATTTTAACTGTTAGCACGATGCTAATTTATGGGGCTAACCAGACTGGAGTGCATTCAGAGTGGTTTTAAAACGATAAACACTTGAGTAAGCGTTGTTCGGTTTTAATACAGGAGAGAAGAGTCGTTGGGTTGCTGAATGGACACAACGGGAGAGTGAATGCGGTCCAGTGGGTCCATAGAAAGGACAACGGTGAGTACAGAGGATGATCTGTCACAGCTGGCTGCCCAGTTGATGATGATAGTTTAAGCCGCTTCAACGATGCAAACAGGTTTTGGTGAGCAGGAAATGTAGTTGTTTTTTTTTATATGCAGATTTACAAACCCAAGCTGTGTTGCTGTTGTCATTAATGGGAAATAAGTTTTTCTTGGAACAGTCCTTGCTAACAAACTAACTTAATTTGCTCTGCCTATTTCTCTACTGTCTCATAAAAGTTGAGTTCTGTGGCCGTGGCTCTTTGAAGGCTGGTGAACTATCATCTTCAGATTCAAGAAGGCACCTGATGTCTCTTAACTGCCGTCACATAATATAAAACATTGTAGTTCACTATGATGATGTAAAAGTTGTGTTATTGTACCAAGTAGGGCAGACCGTAATAACTGTTCTTGTTATCACAGCACCAGAGTGCCATCTTATCTCAGGAGGATCAGACAATCGGCTCATCCTCTGGGAAGCTCAACATGGGAAGGTAACCAGTGTTGTCTTGCAAACAGCTTCTGACTATAGCCACTTTTTTTTTACAGATTGATGTAAATGTTTGATCATTGATAGCTATTGGTACACATATATTAGCAAAATGTCCTGATACATGCTCAATAATCCAGGTAGATAAATCTATAAATCAGGCCAGGTCAAGATTGAAGAGGTCTTTTGAATTAAAGATGAAACATTTCAACAAAGAAGAATCCATCCAGAGGACCTGACTTACTATCAAGCTTTTTGTAGAGAATATTGTGGATGTTTATGTTTAATTTGTTGCTCTATAAATGAAAACAAGCAAAAAAAAGGTTAAAATGTGCTTGTTGTTTCCAGTTTATCCGATCAGTCGAGTGTAAGGGCCACAGTGGTCCTGTCTGTGCTGTCGACACCATTTACATGGAAGACTCAAAGATCCTGGTAGCCTCCTCTGCCTCTGACTCCACAATCAGACTGTGGCTCTGCAGTCGCAACAAAGAAGGTGAGACAAAATAGTCTTTTCATTAATTAACGTCGTATTTTTAAAGTGTTTCTAGATGTTGTGATGGAAATACCACAAAATGAGACATATTTTAATTTGTAATCTTGATAGTTACAAATGATACGATAGCTCCTAATTTTTGTTAATTAATCCCAATAATATTCCACAATAATCATTAAGCTAGCATAGAACCATAAATGAAACTCCGTACAGTGATTCACAATAAAATATAGGCAAGAATGTGAGAAATATGAAAATATCAATATGTATTGATGCTTATAAGTTTTCTTGTAACCTTGGCTGTTGGATGCTGAACGCCCCAAGCTAGAAATTACTGTAACATGCAGTTTATGCTTAATATTATAACTAAATACAATTTACTCAACATGAAACATTATGTACAAAAATGGTTATTTAAATGCTAAAATATTTATTTAAATAAACTAAACACTTAATATAGTACAGTGGTTCCTATATTTTTCAGCTTCTGATGCACAAAATGACAGAAACATGATCACTATCACTGGTTGAGGAATAAAAACCTTTCTAAGTCAAGGATATCATGAGAGCACAAACAATCTCTACAACTATTACTGTGTATTTTATGACTGTTTTATGGAAACTATGGCTAAAATGTGCTATTTACTGTCATTTTTAAGTTTCATTTGATTTTTGGAGTTTTTGTAAGATCTTGTTTCATGGCACAAGGTGGTCCTGAACCACTGCCCAAATGACCTGAAAGGGGTCAGTGGTGTTTTATAAAGATGATTAGTTCTGGTGTCTGCTCTAGAAAACAACTTTAAAAGACTCTGAGATGATAAAATCTCAAAGCTCTGAGTTTTCAGATCAGTTCATCAGATTTAGTTTAGTCAGCTCTGTATGTTCACTCTGAGCTGGGAAATGTTGGCCAGGATAAAACTTATAAAACAAAAACCACTAATAAAGCTTTGATAACTAATCATTATCTATGGAAACATTAAGCTAAAACACTGTGACTGTGCATACTTGGCATCATTTCTCTGAAACACTATAAAAAAGCTAAAAATATTAGAATTAATTCAATTACTGCTGAGACAGAATATCTCCATCTTCTACCGCTTATATTTTGTCAAATCACCGAGGCAGCAGGTCCAAGATAGAAACCCAGACATCCCTCTCCCCACTGACACTTTCCAGCTTGTTCTGGGGGACCCGAGACGTTCCCAGGCCAGAGAAGGTACATAATCCCTCCAGCGACTTCTGAGTCTTCCTCAGGGTCTCCTACCAGTTTTCATTCACCCTTTATTAATACAGGTTAGTCTCTTTGAGTCTCGGGGACTCATTTACAAGAGAGACTTGTTTTAAACAAAGAGTGATGACAACAGTAGACAATCTTATAAACTGAGAAGAATAAATGAAAGAAAATGGTATTAAAACAAAAAGAAAAACTAAACTAAACAGCTAGATTGTAAAGCGACGTAGAAAACTAAAAACAGGAACATGTCTGCGTTGGTTTTTGCCAGGAACTTAGCAGATGTTTGACGCCACTTAGAGAGGTCAAGGTCGAGAGCTTCAGATCTTTTTGCAAGATATTCCAGGAAACTGGAGCGGTGTAGGAGAAGGCCCTTTTGCCTCGTTCAGTCCTCACTGAGGGAACACTGCAGGTAATAATGTCCTGAGAGCGCACGCTGTAGCTGCACTCACGCAGAGACTAATGCTCAGAATCCTTGGGCTGGTGGATATCCCGGATGACGGAACTCCTCGTCCTATCTCTAAGGCTGAGCCCGGCCACCCTGCAACGGAAGCCCATTTTGACCGTTTGCATCCGAGATCTTGTTCTTTCAGTCCTGATCCAAACCTTTTGACCGTAGACGAAGGTCGGAACATAGACAGACCAGTAAAATGAGAGCTTTGCCTTTCAACTTGGCTATTTCTTCACCACGACTGACCGAAGCAATGCCCTCATTACTGAGGACAAGGCCCCATCTCCCGCTCCATTCTTCCTTCATGAACAAGATACTTAAACTCCTCCCCCTGAGGTTAAGTTCCCTCCCCCCGACCCGGAGGGGTCATTCCACCTGTTTCCGGTCGAGGACCAAGGCCTCAGACTTGGAGGAACTGACTCTCATTCCAGATGTTTCACACAGCTGTGAAACTGTCCCAGTACACGCTGAAGACACAATACCACAGTAATTCTGACAGCTGTTTTATTGTTCATAATGTATTATTTTAGACTGGGAATTAGTTTTTTATGCATGTTGTTATGATGGAGTCATCATATTTTTGTACATCCAGTCAATACAAAATGAAAAATGCAAATCTATTCTCTGCTGTGATTTGACATCAACTGTCTGAATGAGATGTGATGTGTCAGAGTTGCTTTAAGCTCAGCAGGAGGAGAGGTATCACAGAGAAAATCAGTTTGTTGAAGAAAAAAATCCACCAGCTTGCTAGTTAGGCTACAAAAACAGTTACTATGGCAACAGATGCAAGTTACTCTTCATTTAACAGAAAAACAAGAATTTGTTTTTATTTCACTGTTAACAATCTCAAAGTTTCCACAGACACGTCTTCAGATTAGAGCACAATCTTTCTGTCATATTGTTCCCATATCTGCCACAACATTATGACCACCTTCCTGATACCGAATATGTCTTTCATTCAAGGCACTTCTGAAGGGGTTCTTTACATTTGGCAGAAGTCCTTGGAGTTGTAAAGGTGGAGCCTTCATGGATGGACTTGTTTGTCCAGCATAGCTAACAGCGCCAGACGAGAGAAGAGAACAAGAAGTCAACAGTTCAAATGCTTTTTATGTCCCTAAAAACATTTTTAAAACCTTTTTGCTTCACCATCAAGGAATACAGTTTCGGTGTTCTTGGTTATCAATAATGTTTAGGATGTTGGGTAAGTCAACATCCATAAAATTGTCAGAACGCACGGTTTCTAGCAAAAAATTGCCAAAAGCATCACAATGCCTACTCCTCATGATGCATTATTCACATGGTGCCAAAGAAAAAGTTGTTTACCGGAGCAGGACACCTTCCGTTGCTCTGTGGTCCAGTTCTTGTGCTCCACTTCCAGTCGTAGATACTTTCAGTGACGGACAAGTTCAGCACGAGCACGCTGCAGTTACACAACCTCATGTGCAATACACATCCGACACCTTTTACTTGAACAAAATCGGGATTTAAAATAATAATAATAATAATTTGAGCAAACTTTTATATTCACAGTGCTTTGTGTAATTTAATACTTGTTCAGGGTGTTAAAGAAGTACTGCTCAAGTTTTCAAAAGCATAACCAAAACCTCACAACCTGACATTCGTTGCTACATTTCAAGGCTCTGAGACCACGTTGTCATCACAATTTGACATCTGAAGAGTTCTGATTTATAATTTAACATATTTTAATGTGTCATTCCTGTGACTGATCACAAAACTAAATGTATAACCCCCCCCCCCACACACACACACAAAAAAGTACCTTTTAAATATATAAAAAAAAAAAACCCTGTTCACACCACTTTCATATTTACACACCATTACCAGTATATTTAATATTACTAATATAAAAGGTTATTTGTGTGCATTAGAAGTGCATTGATATATTTTTTTAAAATTATGGCAGATGCTGATAGTATTGTTTAGAAATCAGGGCAGCCGATATTATACACCACTTTTTTTTTTTTAAATGTTCTGGCCAATTTGTATTTTTTATTTAAGAAATTAAAGCATAATCACTTAACTTGAATATATATTTAGCAGCTCTTACATGTTTTTTTAGAACATGTTTATTAAAGATGTTTCTTAATTAAAAGGGCTGGGCTGGTTGTAGCAGCTACTCCTTCATTTTCATCTTCCTACTTTGTAATCAGTTCTGTATGCTCGGGTACAGCTGATTGACATGGCCTAAATATGTCTGCCTCTAATATGCAGGAATTTCTGCAACTTACATCAAATGTGCTCTACTGCAAATACATTTTTTTCTCAAACTAGAAGGTGTTTTTGTCACAGATTTAAACATTATGTCATATTTTATTTATCTCTGTGTTTTTATTCATATTATTGTGATCTGCTGTGAATCACCTGAAAACATAGTTTAATGCCTTTATTTCAAAGTATTTTGAAACCTCCTGACAACCTGCACTAAATAGAAAAATACAATTAGGTGCTCCTTCTACTTGAAATCAGATGCAAACCCAGCTCAGTCAAATGCTGCAAAACTGGCTGCATAAATGAAAAGAAGCTGAAACTATTTTGGAGGCAGATCATCTTACTGCAGATGTTCTAGTTGACTATATTTGCAACGGTTTGATGACTTTTGAATAATTTTTATATTTGTTTGAGTACTGATGGTTATGATTAGAGATGCACCGATCCGATATTAATATCAGTACCGATATCGGAAAAAAATTCTGTGGTTTTCAATAAATTTGTAATTCAGTACATTTATGTCTGCGTTTAAAAAACAAATGTTTTAAGTTAATTCAGCACTGTTTTTTTGTGTCTGATCGGTATTGACCAATACTAAACCTCAGATATCGGTATCGATATCGGAAGTGAAAAAAAGTGCTTGGTGCATCCCTAGTTATAATTTCTTTATCAACCTTTTAAATATGATAAAAACTATAATGTCATTATTTTCTGCTAGATTTATTTTTAATTATTCAAAACTGTTAGTGCACAAAATGTTAAAAATGTATTGTCTTTATGGTATCCTTGTAAGCAATATCAGTATCAATAAGGCCATACAGCACACACAGAAGGGGCATGTCAGTGACATATCAGATGCTCCTCTCCCTAAATGTCCACAGCTGATTTCGTTGATAGTAGCCAAAATGCTCAAGTGTTGTGATGACCGAAGTTGTCTTTTGAAATAGTCAACAATAATTGCAATTGCATTGTGCAGCCCTATTTAAAACTTTATTTAAATCTACATGCAAAACAAACAAAAAAGCAATAATAAATTAAAAAACACCACATTTATTTTTGACAGACGTGCTTTTGACAGTTAAGTGTCAGCAGCCTTCCTCGGTGTCATCCCTGTCTTTCTTTTTTCAAGCTGTCTCCTATAACAGGTTCCTTATGCTGAAAGTTTCTGCGTCCACCTGTCAGTGCCAAAAATAAATAAAAAAATAAAAACTACCGGTATGCTACTTGACAGTCACCGAGTGTCTGCAAACTGGTTCAAACCCTGAGTTATATTTTCAAATAAAAATATGATTAATGTAGGTTTTATATCGACTGTTTTTGCCTCTTCATGTGTAGTGAAATAGGGCACACTTCGGCAAAAAGATAATAAAAAGGCAAAATAAGTGTTTTTAATGTGCAACTAAAGTCTCATAGCCTAATATATCCACATCTTTAGTAGTAATTGTGTAGTTTAGTGCTGTGCAGCTGAAAGTTTATTTCAATGTGATTGTTTTTTGGTTTGCTCCTCAGCTGAGTGCCTCCATAATGTATCATTTGGCAGTGGTTTCATGATGGATGTCTCCCTAGCATTGTTGCCAGGCACCAGAGGTAAGCATAAAGTGCTCCTGCATAAACAAAACGTGCTTTAACTTCCACATATACACAAACGCGTATGGACACATTTTTGCTCTCCTGTAACGGAATCACAGCCATTTTCAAAACGCATTAAGCTTTGGAAGTTGAACTGAAATTTCAATGCTGAACCCACTCTGTGTGTGTGTGTGTGTGTGTGTGTTTCCCACAGTTCCTATACTTGCCTGCGGGGGTGATGACTCTCGGGTGCATCTGTATGTGCAGGCGAACAGACAGGTAAACTTGGATCATTCCTCACCCAGCAGCAGCCTATTCAAATATACTGTTCCGTTTCTTGAATTTAAATGTCCCTGAATTAAAGAGCACCCACTGATCCTCTGAAACGACTCCACCGCAGCTCCAGAAAGTCATGTCACTGCAAGGACACGAAGACTGGGTCCGTGGAGTGGAGTGGACCTCGACAGGTGAGCTCCAGTGTTTTGGTGCAGAACTGCTTGTTGTGAACTTGGTATGGAGTTCCTGTTGCCTTGGCAAGTCTTTTTCTACCCATTTTTGTGCAGTTTCCCCTTTAAATGCTCATTTTGTATGTTCACAAGATGTGAAGAGCCATGTAAGTTTACAGAATTCCAAAGATTTTAAAATTATATGTGACAAACTGTAGACTTTTTGTCTTTGTAACAACTCTTGGAGGGACACGTTTTTATTATAAATGTGGCATTTTTTGAGTCATTTATGCAGAAACATCAGTTTGACAGTGTAAATAGTTGTGGCAGAATTTCAAGCAACAACCAAAACAAATGATTGTCATCATTATCTTCAAGTGTCACCGCAGCGTGATTGATGTGATCTAAGTTAGGCTGGCTTCTTGCTTCTTTACAGCAGAACATTTTTTTTTATTTATAAATACATTTTGACAGAGACAAAAATGGTCTGGTAACAAAAAAAAGGAGGCAATGTGAGTGCTGCCTTTGGCTTTTTAGCTAGAGAGCCTGTATTTTGTGCCGCTACCTTAGTGACATGTCAGTGCTGGGTGGGGGTGGGAGGGGCAAGTTCAGTTTGGTAGGCGGGGTGCTCAGTTTTGTTGGCGGGGTGGGGCACCCCACCTGTATAATGGTAGGGGAAACACTGATATGTATATGTAAACCAGCCCCTCCTATCATTTAAGGAAACTATGCTTTCTAGTTTTTATGTTGCTTAAAAGTATTGTTTTCTTAAATGATTGATGTGGCTGAAGATGGTGGCCAAGGCCACCATTGGCCACCCCCTGGCTCCGCCTTTGCACCTGGACACTCATTCTGTGTCACCTCGGTCAAGAAAAAAGCCTACCTCTGTTTTTATACACAGATTAAATCCTACCCATTGTGCACCAAAAACATTAAGGTTTACTTTTATTCTCTGTTCAGTTCCAGTCCATAAAAACACTCGTCTCGAAAACTACAAACATTCATTGTTGAAATCCCTCAGCGACGAGGGACATCGGTGTACTCCTTGTTTGTAATCTGTAATAATCATTATTGTGAGTATGAGTTCCACATGTTTAACTTTTACACTTTCAAACCACAGAAAAAGCCCCTAAAATTTGTTCTAATACACCTTTAACCCATTAAACACCCATTCAAATAGCACCATAATATGCTCAATGACAATATGGCAAGACTTTGTAATAAATCTGTTTAAGGGTGCGCACCAGATGTCTTTGAGTGAAGGTTTTTGGGTTTTCTCTGCTTTTTTTTTTTCCAGGGACTGAGCTGTTATTAGCCAGCTGTTCACAGGACTCGCTCATCAGAGTGTGGAGGCTGTGTGCCAAATCTGGCTCAGACACCCGCACAGAAGATGATCACACCATCATCAAAATGAAAGAGGACGTTTTTGAAGTGAAGGACAGAGGTGAGTGGGCCAGCCTGGCTTGATTACCAAAAAAAGGTGTTAATTAAGCAAATGAAGGGATATGATTTTTGAAGGGGAAAGGGAGAGGAGATTCCAAAAATTTTGTGCGAGTGCTTAAATTAATCAACACCAAAATACTTTTGAACTGTTAAAATAGTATGTAAAGAAATTTGTCTTTTTTATCATTTATATCTGTATAAATAAACTAAATTAAACTGAATTTTTTGCACATTCATCTTTGGGTTTTGTTGTTTTACTGCAGAAATCATCTCAGCGTTTGCTGTGTCCCTTGAAACCGTCCTGGCAGGCCACGAGAACTGGGTTTATGGAGTCCACTGGCAGCCTCAGGTCTACAAAGGTACTTTGTTTTAAAAACCCACTGAAGAGATTGACCCGTAGTATTGCTGTCATCAGACAGGACAAGGTCGACAGCTTAAAGGAACAATGTCAAAGTTGTAGGAGTTAAAAGCCGATAAAGAAAATCACCCGAACCCGTCCACCCGCCGGGCCCAGGTGGACAGATCAGTATCTGCGGCTGCTTTTTTTGGATCCGGTGTGGGACAGATCACTGCGGGAGATCCTTCCTGCCCACAGCCTTCAGCATCTATAACAGCGTTTTAATGAAACCAGGATAATAAGTTGCATCATCATTTAATTTCTCATTGGAATAAAGTATTTTTGAATTGAGTTGAAAAGAAAAATGGAATGTAATAAATTCCAATTTTTTTATGGCCATAAACACTTATCTGCATCATGGTCACAGGCAGCTTGACATGCTAGGTAGAGTTGTTGAATCTCTGTGAGAAGGTTGCTGGATCGAATCCCGACCGGAGGCCATTCTGGGTGGAGTTTGCATGTTGTCTCTGTGCATGTGTGGGTTTTCTTCAGGTACTCCAGTTTCCTCCCACAAACCAAAAACATGCATGTTAGGCAGGTTGGTAACTTTAACTTGTCCCTAGGTGTGAGAGAGAGAGTGAATGGGTTGTTTATCTCTATGTGTCCCTGTGATGGACTGGAGACCTGTCCAGGGTGTCCACTGCCTCTTACACAGTGACTGCTGGACATGGGCACCAGTGACCCTCGTGACACGAAAAGGAAGAAGCGGGTAAAGATGATGGACGGATGGTTGCTCTGTTGGTCTTATCTTTATTGTTCAATTCAGCAACGTTTAGAAGCTGTGGCCCAATCTCAAATATTGAAAAGCAACTTGGATAAAAGTTTGAGTTTCTGTCAGTTAAAAAAAAAATCCTTAAAACAGTATTGTTCAATTGTATTTATTTGTTGTAATTACAATTAAAAACATTGTTGCCTTTATTATTAAAATTATTAATACCAGTCATATGTCACTGGAGGCCTGTCTTCAATCATAAAAGTAGAAAAACAACAGCTCAACAGTCCACAGGATGTTTGATTGTCCTCTATTTATTATTCCTGAGTGTCTCTTTGTCTCCCCCTGCAGGTGGAGAGCTGCAACAGCCTCTCCGTCTGCTATCTGCTTCCATGGACAAAACCATGATCATCTGGGCTCCTGAAGAAGAATCTGGAGTCTGGGTGGAGCAGGTCAGTGTTGTCTAGACGAGTGGGAGGTTTTATACAGCTATGCAGACATACACATGTAAAATTAATGACTGCCTTAAGTCAAGACAGTTTTGTACCATCTCCCACACAAGTTTTTTTTTCTGTTTCTGCAACCTTTTTTTTTTTTTGTAACTCCTGACACTCTCAGGCCTCAGCATCTTCCTAGAATCCCCTCTGCTGCTGTTGACGCCCCTCCGTCGCTTTCCACTCTCCCTGACATTGACGTGTCAGGAATAGATGTGACAGACAGTGATGAAGAGGCGCCTAGACCGGCACACCACAGTTTAGACAAGCCGCTGTTGTCCATCCTGATCTTTCCCTCTTTCACTCTCCCGCACCAAACCTTATCTTTTACAGCCCTTTCTGAAGTAAATAAGACATGAAGTGTAGGGAGCCTATTGAGAGATATCCTTTAGCCTTTTTCTGCCTTTTTTCTTCTTTGTTTTTTTGTTTGTTTATTTATTTGAAAAACAAAGACACAAAAGCTCATCGACAGGAATGCCTTATAAAGGATCAGGGATGAAACCAAAACAGAAGAAAGCGAAGGGTTTTAGTCACAGTGGGCAGCGCTGGACAAATACGCTGTGGATTAACTGGTTGTTTATAATTATATAATACCACGGGGTTCAAAGTAGACAAATAATGAAAGGAGTCGTGAATTACAGGATATACGAGCAGATTTTATTGATCTGGCGTAAGTTAGTTTTTTTGTTGCATGGACCTTTAAAAAACAAACATTTACTATTAAAGATTAGAGCACTGATTAGTTTTAATTATAAGCCTGTTGAAAGGCGAGCATATTATATTATAGTTTCTGTCCTTCTTTATGTCTGTAAATGTTCTGTTGTACTGTCCATAACTTCTGATCTGCTCAAGATCATTTTATAAAACTTTATACACATATGAACCAACACTAGTTGGAGTGTCACATACACTTTTCATCCTCCCAGCTCCAAGATCAAAGTAAAACAGACAGAGCCTTTGTGACATCTGACCAATAGAGCTGAACTGTTGTGCACATCCAGTAAGCCGGGGGGTGGGGGTGTAGCAGATGATTTTAACTGCATCGTAAAGATAGACAAAATTTAGTCATTCTAAGAGTCATGATATGAATTCTGTGCAAATTGTTAGGTTACTTGACGTAACCGCAGTTCTTTGATAACAGAGTGAGGTGTTTCACTGTGGGAAACGCTCCAGCGTGTCCACCTGTGGTAGCTCCAATGACATTACATCTGTCTGAGACAGACTGGTTGAGCTGTGCTCAGGGCTCTGCCCCATCATGACACCACAGTCAACCGACCACCTCCTGCTCATTCTAGGACGGTTTCTTTCCGTGACCATGCAAGGAGGTAAAACACTCACTCCGTTATCAAAGAACTGGGGTTACGTTAAGTAACCTAATGTTCTTTTTCTAACTTCGTTCAGTGCCTCACTTTGGAAAATATAACCCACTTCCGTATTGCAAGAAAACCCCAAAGCCAACTGCTATCCTGAACCCGGGCTAAGAAGGCTGTGAAGTACCGGCGTCCAGTATGGCATGAGCTAGGGATGGCTGAGCCACATCCAGCCTGTAAAACCACACAAACATACGCGGCGTGGTCCAGCTAGCTGCCGCTAGGGAAGTGCGATATGGCATAAAATTCATATCCCAATATCTATTGTGATGGTGGTAACGATATATATCATGATATGTTTTTAGTATAAAACTTGCATTAGGAATGAAAAAAATAACATAGGGTGTCACTTGCCATCATTTATTTTGAAAGCTGCTATACCACAAAATAATCTCAATCAAGAAAATTAGGTCCAGAGAGTTTTGAAATAATTAACAAATCAAGTATGAGGCTTCTTTCTTGTAGTACAAAACAGTGCAAAAGATATCAAATGTAGTTTTAGCCAGACGTTTTAAACAAAATAATATGCTGTTAACTCAACAGTTTCCAGTCTTCTCACTTAAGAAATGAAGAGCAACAGAGCAGCATTTTACTTATAAAAATGTGCACACTGAAAACACTTAACATTCAAATTCAAAATCTTGCTGTCATTTGTTAGAGTCTAAAGATTGTTGACCAAGAACACTAGCTTGCCCACAGTCTCTGGCTTTAACAGAGACTAGTGACATGAGACAGTGTTACCACCAGTGCTAAATGCCATTTCTGAAGTAGCACTCGTGGCTGGAATGCAAAGATATTTCTTGGCCAGTCTTGCCATTCTTGGAAAATTAGTCTGGTGCAGTCTCCACCTGTCCAATGGGTCAGTTTCTGACAGACCAAGGTTTGGCTTCAAAAGCAAAGAAGGGATTCCTCCAGTGGGCGTTTCCTTCTGCTTTTAGGAGAGCTGACACAAAATGGCCACCAGTTTCCTTTGTGGCTTCGGATTGGGCCTTAGACTAGAGTTGCGATTTCTAACCCGAGCCAAAATTATGTGCTTGATGACCAGATGGTCTCGCAGTAAAATCATACAGCACAACATTCTTTCACAGATCAGAGAGCAGGTTTAACCCTTTTTTTTTTTTAAGCACAAATGCACTCTCTAAAGCTGACCAACACTTACTTTAACTTTCAACAGAACAAAGCGTTTTGCACATGCGTCCAAATATGGCAACAGTTCGGCAAGCCGGCCGTAGTTAGCGTCTAGCTTTGCTACTTAGCTCTCAAAGAAAGTGGACTTTAACACCATTAACGCACAGTTTTCCACTAAAAAAGTAACGGTTAAATCTGACAACTCTGATTTTACATCAGACACAGCATTACTGTGGTTAGCCGGTAGAAGACAGATCTCTATCATAGGCTAAATGTCTATCGTTTCTACCGTGTACCGCATATATAAATATGTAAATCAGTCTTCGAGGCTCAATGTGATTTATCTGTTTAAATAAAGGTTGAATTAATATATCACACATTCCTAGCTGCCGCACAAATATCTTGGACAGACACACCTCAATACAGGGCCCATGATGTGGCCATGCTCCTGATAGAATGGGCTTTTAGCCCAGTCAGGGGCTTTGTACCCCTACATCTGTAACAGAGACCAATTGTCTCCACAATCCAGTGTCCCAGCCTCTGGCTTGACACTGGTTTCCCTTTATGAGTTGAGGCCCAAGAAACAAACAGTTGGTCTGACTTCCTGAAGTCAGCTGTCCTGTCAACATACGCTTTCAGCGTCAGCACAAGACACAAGAAGTTAAGGTTTTGCTCCATTTCAGAGGAGAATGGAGCTAACAGCTCTACTGAACGACATCTGTACACAGAATCCACCACCTTTGGCACAAAAGCCGGATTGGGCCTTAGACTAAAGTTGCGATTTCTAACCCGAGACAAAATTATGTGCTTGATGGGCGGGACGGCTCGAGCTCAGGCTTTTGATACGGTTTTACGAATCATACAGCACAAAGAAAACTAAATAAGAATGCACAATAGAAAATTGTGTTAATTTACTATGTTGAGGATGAGAAATAAATAAAATAGAGTACAGAAGTTAATCAGACTGTGAAAAGAGAGTAGCGCTAGCACATTGCGCAACAATTGCGCATGTGGCCCCACACGCCCTGCTTTTATCACACATCTGAGGAGTTTCAACTGACTCACAACAAGCGACATAATGGAGCTGGAAAGTATTAAACAAAAGCTAAAAATGGGAGAATTCACTTACAAAGCCAGCACAGTGAAACTTATGTGTCAGGTCAGGTGCACGCTCATGTCCAACCGGCCAGTTGAAAGAGGTAAAAAAAAAAAAAAGTCCCGTTAAGCTTCAGATGGATCACCGGATCATCGGCTGCACACGTCCTGCCCCTCACCCTGCTGTCATCTGCAGTGAGGGCAGTTGCAGCATCTGAAGCTACAAAAGCCGGAGCGAGCAGCGTGTTCAATTAAAATAACCTTGTTCTATATTTGTCCAAATAATTTTGCTCTAAAAATATTTTTGTTCATCTGTTTAATAGCCTATCTTTAGATATTATTTTTTTTAGGCTATTCGTTTTATTAATATCCATTTGGTGACTTGTTAATAAACAAGAAATCTTATATCTTCCTTTCTTTGAAATATATTTTTAAAACTTATCATGTCAAACCAATTTGCATTAAAAGCTTAATTAATTTAATTTTTTTTTTTTTAATCGGGCCTCTAATTAGAGTTAATTAGTCGGGTCATGTCAGATTTTTTAGGCTCGAGTACAACTCTACCTCAAGACACACCTTGGAGAACCCAGGTGCTCACTGCAAACAGGAAGGGCTGATCCATAAAGTGTGTAAATCACTCACCCTTTTAGCTGTGGTTACAGCTAAAACGAAGAAAAAAAAACACAATTATGAAATTGTTGACTATTGCAGTGGATTCTTATTATTTTTGTTTATGATGCAGTGGGTGAGGACATCATGTGTAGCCAGGGTCCATCCAATTACAGTATTAAAATATGTTGTTGGTGTGTAGAGTGTTAATGTATTGCAGTTGGAATATAATATGAATTATTCAGTCCAAGCAGTTTTTTATGAAATTGATTTTGCAAACATTGAATCGGGGTGATTTTCGATGGGTTGTTCAGCATCAGTAGTTACAGATATTGACTTTTTCCGTGCTCCATCTTTCTTGTTTTAACTCTAAAATTGAATCTCTTTCATTTTTCTGTCTCTACCACAATCTTTCCTCCCTTTGCTTTGTCTTCTCCACTCAGCGCTCCCTCTTGAGCTCCCTGCAGCTGCGGTCGCTTCAGAGTGGAGCTAGATTTAACGTGTGGAGAAAAAAAAACACTTCTCTGCCCATCTGCCCCACACCTTTTTCTATTTTTTTGTCCTCAAACACATATTCTCAGGTGGTTCAGGACTGAACACAAACACTCATATTTGTGTTCAAAATGCAGACGTTTAAAACGAATAACGATGTTCTCTCACGTCCAAACATCCTGGAGTGTGCGCCATGAATAAACACACACCTGTGTGAGCAGAAGTGGCTCACCTCGGCGTGGCAGGCACAGAGAGTGTGATTAC